CAACATTGCCATCTCTTTTCAATATGAAAGCCCTCATGGACAATTCAAGGGCACTTTTCCGGTTAGGGTTGAGCTCGCGCTCAGCGGGGGCCTTTCTGATCCTTACCCTGTTATTTTTGAGAGACAAATTAAATAATTCGCATAGAAAAGAAAACCAATTCCTCTTCCTCAATGCACCAGATTACACGAAACTGTCAATTATTGCCCCCCTGATTTCCATTTTTATACAAAGGCAACCACGACAAAGCAGGACTGCAGATAAAAACAAGAAATGCAAACAAAATCTTTTCCTAGTATCGCACCCGGACACCTCTCGACTTTTTAGTTAAACTAGCTACAAACAGGACAGGATATGCAATTTCAAAGAACAAGAAGACTGTGCAACAGCCCGCACGCAAATAATCCCAGTAATTTTAGAAACCTAATGTAATCAGTCAGACACACAGTGCGGATTTAGTACAGACCTGTACTAAATGACTACATAACATATAGCTAGATGCTAACGAAACCGTTTTGCATATATGACCAGCACACAAAAGAAATCAGTTCTACACGCGATTACCTGCGTGTCCATCCGCTCGTAGCCTCCGAACAAACTTGCAAGAGCGGGTCCTCGCCAAGAAATCCGGCATCTCCGCCACCGCTACGGAGGTCCCCTGCACGGCGAATGTCAGCCTCGGCGACGCTGATAGAAGCCTGGGACTCTATAGGCCGGGCAGCACAAGCATTGCGTGAGACAAAAATCAAGGAATTTGAGGGACAAACGGCAACTAGATCTAATCCTAACTTCATTTTTTGCGTGAGACAAAAACTAGTAGCTCTGTTAAGTGGCATCTGAATTACCTCTGTTCGGAATCGCCCTCCGTTTCCATGGACAGGTCCATGGAGCAGGTTCCAAGGTCTCGATCCAGAGGAGGAAGACGAACTGGAGAAAGGAGCAGCAGGAGGCGTATGGGTCTGTGCCCTGACGGCCAGTGCTTTGAGAAAGGGATAGCTGGCCACGCGATGTGGGCCAACATGCCTTGCGCCTCGACTAGAGACTAGTCACGTGATCTTTGCAACTGTACCAAACCCAGCTGCACCGTGTACCAGCACACGCACTCCGCAAGTCCAACTCCACAGCAGCGACACATTTGTTCCACACCGATACGCCTATGAACCTAATACCTATTACTAGGGAGCGGACAGGGGGGAGACAGCGAAGTGATGTTTGCCAATCCCCAGGAACGGTTGGACGGCCATGATTAAGTCCACACGAGCCGCCGTCCACCGAAAAGTCGCTTCGTGGTTCAGGTGGCCGTGTAGAGCACACGCCCGTCAGGACAGTCCAATAAACCAGAAGCCCTGGAACGAAGATCGTCCGCATAGAGCTAGCCAACCCTTTTACTACATTCAGCGATCAAGACAATGGACGGCGCCAGCGAGGGACGGGAGCAGCCGATGTTGGAGAAGGAGCTGATCAGCAGCCACAAGGAGCATCACCTCACGGCCGGGGAGGTGGTGCGCGATGTCATCATGGGCGTGTCCGACGGCCTTACCGTGCCCTTCGCCCTCGCCGCAGGGCTCTCAGGTGCGAGCGCGGCATCATCGCTCGTCCTCACCGCCGGGCTTGCCGAGGTCGCAGCAGGGGCCATCTCCATGGGACTCGGGGGGTAATCACTGGTTCTCTTATACTACACCATAATATATCATCCATATCTACCACTAGTTTGCAGCCTGGCCTAGTTACTTCTTACTGACGAGTGACGACCCAAAATTTAAATATCCAATTCTTTAGGAAAAAAACAACAGTCACATCGTCATGATTACGCAGTAGCTAAATATGGAACACATCATTATTGAAACGCTTAGTTTGATCGTAGCCCTTAACTATAACCTACATATAAGAGAAATTTTGAGACACACCCACTAATATGATCCATTAATTCTGTGTGATCTAACAATTCAAACATACTATTACCTACGATTCTACATGTGCATGTGGTTATATTAAAGTAAGCTATTGAAATCATAGATAGCAAGATGTGTAGATTGCATGTGGTTACTATTGACATTACAGATCATGCAAATAAGGAAGAAAATAATATGTATGAAATTTCTGATGATTATAAGCGTTGACAAATACAAGCCTAGTTGAAGTACATGTTGATTATATATACTCATATTTTACTATTCATGTTAGAAAAGTTACACAGATAACAAACAAGAGTTAAGAGGGGTTGTTTTTGGCTTACGGAGCTGCTGGTCCTAATGCTCGTCCATACATTGGCTACATGTGCCTCAGTTTTCTAGTATGCAATGTGATGAGAAAAAACTGAAAAAGATTAATACATTGGAGAAAGTACTAATATGTTCTTACTAGCTAATAACTCCAGTGTATAGTTGTATATAACAATATGTCCTTGCATTGTCAATATTTTAGATAGATATGCTATGTCCACTATGCATTATAAAATACAGATCATATATACAGTTCAAAAGCCACACATGCATTTTCTATCACTCTCAATGTTATGCATTAATACCTTCCGCAACAAAATGCTATATGTGCAAAACTATACAAGTGATGCATATACTATGTAATTTGTTTGTGTGGTATTAGTATTTGGTGTGAAGTCGATAAACATATAGGTTTTCTTCATTAGTATAGTTTGGAATCTGTGGGGTCAGAAAATAACTTGCCATACGTGAAAATTGGGTATAGCCAACCTTTCTCGATGGATGGCTGGGATTAAATACTCATCTTGCCGTCTAGTGGGTAAGTTGAAGCGTCTTAATAGATCTTTACAAATAAAGTAGAACTGATGGAAAACGCAAATAAATGCTTATGACACAAGAGGTAATTAGTAGTCATCGATATATAGGATGGGCTACGGCCATTGCTGATCAATTTATAGTGAATGTTTGGGGGCGGATTATTGGCTCATAGACTTCTCGCGCACACTTTTCTCGTTCGGGAATTGATAGCTTTTGGTTATGAAATTTTTCATGCTATTTGTAACATGATGGTTCTTTTATCGCATTTGGCGTCAATTTTATTTCTAATCTTTGTAATAATCTAGCCTTGTGTATTATTGGTGCTTAGACCAGGGTTAATAAATTAAGCTTCCATTATCTAAAAAAATCAGTTTAAAGGTTTTGTTGCGGGGGAGTGGGGATGGGGGCAAATATAATCAACCATTTATCTTGCTGCAACCATTTGTGATCCATTGGATTGGGAGGAGAGGTGGCAAGTACAATTACTTCCTCGCCAATTTATCCCAATTTCTAATATATATGCTACACCATATATGCTTCTTGTAAGCACTAAGTACAACTTTAAATTAATACATTCGTAAGTTTGGGAATACCTATTTTGAGACATAAATATTATTATTGCATACACATGGTATTAAGATAATGATCTTTAAGAATGTAAGATGTATGTATTATGATGTATATAGAAGAAGGAATTCAAAAAGCCGCACATGATAGCTTACTCAACCGAGTACAAATTTATGAAATGGTTTTTCTTCTTCTGAAAAACATGCAAATGTCCAAGTCATTTGATGTACTTCAAAAAAATCATTCAGAAATAATTGGTTTGCACCCTTCATAAACATCACATTAGTACTATAATATTTTCTTCTTTTTAGAGCACCAAAATTTTCTCACTGGGGCTGGGGGGGCCATCATCTTCGTGTGTAATTTAAAGTCATGCATGATACATGAACATATATATG